GAGAAGAAAAGGAAATAAAAGGAATCCAAATCGGAAAAGAAGAAGTAAAGCTGTCACTGTTTGCAGATGACATGATCCTATACATAGAGAACCCTAAAGATGCTACCAGAAAACTACTACAGCTAATCAATGAATTTGGTAAAGTGGCAGGATACAAAATTAATGCACAGAAATCTCTGGCATTCCTATATACTAATGATGAAAAATCTGAAAGTGAAATCAAGAAAACACTCCCATTTACCATTGCAACAAAAAGAATAAAATATCTAGGAATAAACCTACCTAAGGAGACAAAAGATCTGTATGCAGAAAATTATAAGGCACTGATGAAAGAAATTAAAGATGATACAAATAGATGGAGAGATATACCATGTTCTTGGATTGGAAGAATCAAGATTGTGAAAATGACTCTACTACCGAAAGCAATCTATAGATTCAATGCAATCCCTATCAAACTACCACTGGCATTTTTCACAGAACTAGAACAAAAATTTTTGCAATTTGTATGGAAACACAAAAGACCCCGAATAGCCAAAGCAATCTTGAGAACGAAAGAAGGAACTGGAGGAATCAGGCTCCCAGACTTCAGACTATACTACAAAGCTACAGTTATCAAAACGGTATGGTACTGGCACAAAAACAGAAAGATAGATCAATGGAACAGGATAGAAAGCCCAGAGATAAACCCACGCACATATGGTCACCTTATCTTTGACAAAGGAGGCAGAAATGTACCGTGGAGAAAGGACAGCCTATTCAATAAGTGGTGCTGGGAAAACTGGACAGCTACATGTAAAAGTATGAAGTTAGATCACTCCCTAACACCATACACAAAAATAAGCTCAAAATGGATTAAAGACCTAAATGTAAGGCCAGAAACTATCAAACTCTTAGAGGAAAACATAGGCAGAACACTCTATGACATAAATCACAGCAAGATTCTTTCTGACCCACCTCCTAGAGTAATGGAAATAAAAACAAGAGTAAACAAATGGGACCTAATGAAACTTAAAAGCTTTTGCGCAGCAAAGGAAACCATAAAGAAGACCAAAAGACAACCCTCAGAATGGGAGAAAATATTTGCAAATGAAGCAACTGACAAAGGATTAATCTCCAAAATTTATAAGCAGCTCATGCAGCTTAATAACAAAAAAACAAACAACCCAATCCAAAAATGGGCAGAAGACCTAAATAGACATTTCTCCAAAGAAGATATACAGAGTGCCAACAAACACATGAGAGAATGCTCAACATCACTAATCATGAGAGAAATGCAAATCAAAACTACAATGAGATATCATCTCACACCAGTCAGAATGGCCATCATCAAAAAATCTAGAAACAATAAATGCTGGAGAGGGTGTGGAGAAAAGGGAACCCTCTTACACTGTTGGTGGGAATGTAAATTGATACAGCCACTGTGGAGAACAGTATGGAGGTTCCTTAAAAAGCTACAAATAGAACTACCATATGACCCAGCAATCCCACTACAGGGCATATACCCTGAGAAAACCAAAATTCAAAAAGAGTCATGTACCAAAATGTTCATTGCAGCTCTATTTACAATAGCCCAGAGATGGAAACAACCTAAGTGTCCATCATCGGATGAATGGATAAAGAAGATGTGGCACATATATACAATGGATTATTACTCAGCCATAAAAAGAGACGAAATTGAGCTATTTGTAATGAGGTGGATAGACCTAGAGTCTGTCATACAGAGTGAAGTAAGTCAGAAAGAGAGAGACAAATACCGTATGCTAACACATATATATGGAATTTAAAAAAAAAATGTCATGAAAAACCTAGGGGTGAAACAGGAATAAAGACACAGAGTTACTAGAGAATGGACTTGAGGCTATGGGGAGGGGGAAGTGTAAACGGTGACAAAGCGATAAAGAGGCATGGACATATATACACTACCAAACGTAAGGTAGATAGCTAGTGGGAAGCAGCCGCATAGCACAGGGAGATCAGCTCGGTGCTTTGTGACCGCCTGGAGGGGTGGGATAGGGAGGGTGGGAGGGAGGGAGACGCAAGCGGGAAGAGATATGGGAATATATGTATATATATAACTGATTCATTTTGTTGTGAAGCTGAAACTAACATACCATTGTAAAGCAATTATACTCCAATAAAGATGTTAAAAAAAAAAAAAAAAAAAAAAAAAAAGAATGCCATGCCCAATAAAAGCAAATCAGACGTTCACATAACATTTTTGCTGTTTGTGTTTTTATGGGGGTACTTTTGGGGTGTGAAGTTTATTTGTAAAGCACAGAAGCATCTGCCCACCCATGTTGCCATATAATAGCAGTCTGGCAATCCATTTATAGGATTTGATTATTTTTGTTAATAATTTTCATGGGAGTATATGAAATACAATATGTATCATCTCTTACTATGTTTATTATGAATCTGCCTTCCAGGGAAGGTCCCCCAGGACATCATAGATGGCCTGATTGTCAAAGAGGTTCTTGTCTCACAGGATTTTAAAGATAAAAGGGGCTGTATTAGTTTCGTATTGTGGCTGTGACAAATAATAACAACTTAGTGACTTAAAACAACACAAATTTATTATCTTAGAGTTCTGGAGGTGAGAAGTCTGAAATGAGTCTCATGTGGTTAAGATCAGTGTCAGCAGGCTGGTGTTCCTTTTGGAGGCTCTAGGGGAAGAATCTGTTGCTTTGCCTATTCCAGGTTGTAGAGGCCACCTGCATTCTTTAGCTCATGTTCCCTTCCTCCATCTTCAAAGCCAGCATCTTCTGTCCTCTCTGACCTCTCTTTCCATCCTTATTTTTTTTCTGTGATCCTTCTACACCTCTCTCATAAAAAAGACCCTTGTAATTATGTTGGGCCCAGATAATCCAGGATAATCTACTCATCTCAAGATCCTTAATTTAGTAATTTCTGTCCAGTACCTTTTACAATGTAAGGTAACACATTCACAGGTTCTGGGGTTAGGATGTGGACATCTTTGGAGGGGGCCATTATTCAGCCTACAACAGAGGCCATAGAGACCAACCAAGGCCCAAGAAATAAATGGCTGTCTAAGGGCACACAGCTAATTTGTGGCAGTGCCATGACTGTATCCCTGGCATCCTCACATCTGCCATGTTTATGTGCATCACTGAAAATCACAGGTAAGAACATGCACTGATGGAGGATTTATTTTTATAATAAACTTGAAATGATTGAAGAATAAGTCTAAAATTAAGTCAGTGATTTTAAAAGAGCATTTTATAGATGATAGAAGTTTATGTTTTTTAAATACATTTTTAATGCAAGAGCTTCCTTAAATATTGTAATTTTGCTAGGTCATGGTACCTTCTAAAGATAAAGTGACTTGCAGAGATAAAATAGCTTAAATAATGATGGGAAATGAAAGTGCCAAGGAAACACATGTACATATTCTTCTATCTACTTCCCCTTCCCCTCCTCCTCCTTCTCTTTCTCTCTCTGTAACCCTGGCCATTGCTGCCATTTTGAAAATCTGTTATAGCTGGAAAGTCAATTCAAACTTTTTAATTAAAGGGGGTGGATCTACCAGAGGCTTATTGCCAAGGGGTTAAACCAAATTAAGTTATTTGCCATATTTCACAATGAAGCCCACCTTATTTTGGTGTTGAAATATTCTTCTAAGACTCTAAGGAACTTGTTTTTATCACTTCTGCCCAATAATTTCCTATAACAATTAAAAGGGTTATAGAATTTTGAATTTAGATGGGACTAGACATACCATCCAGCCCCAAACTTCTCTCTTTCATAGTATCTTTGGCAGGTATTTGCCATACACCTCTCTTGCTTCAGTTTTCTCCATCCATGACGTGGGAAGGAATAATGGCTGCTGTAAATTAAAGGTTGTATTAAATTTGAGTTCCTGAGAGGACACGTACATTTGAGAGGGTTGTGACTTTATTGTTAGGTTCATCTTCTGTAGGAATCGCTCCCTGTTTCCACTTCCACTGCTGCAGGCTTTGGTGCCCCTCATCTAGAGTTTCATATACACTTGACTTAACCTCATACTGTACCCCACCCCCAGTGTGGTAATTGTTCTTACATGCATCTGCCTTCTTCAAAATTCAGCATAACCCAGTGCTGGACATGCAATAGGAGCTCACTGGACTGCTGATAGATGCTGTGCATGGATGATTGAATGATGATCATACAATCTCAGAGGCATATAAAGGACACATGGATCTAAAGCCTCAATAAAGATACTGAGGGGGCAGGAAAATGTTGAAGATATAGTCGCTGATCTTCACTGATGTAAAATTAGTAGGTTGGCTACCCCACTTCTCTGCTAACTTTTTCAAACAGAAGAAAATAGGACTGGAAATTGTCCAGAAATTTATTTTAATAGATTCTTTAATGTGACACTGAAAATGAGTGGATGATTTCCCTTTGGATATTTGCACTCTGCACTCAATGCCATCTTTTTCTGCTTATTAATGAACACATTCTTCAGCTGATGGTACATTAAGTCAACTTGCCAAGCTCCTGTCTGGCATTGATAGGGGGTCATAAAATAATTCACTCCCTCAGCAGAATAAATACCTTATATATGTTGAATGCTACTTCTTTGAAAAGCTTATAAAACTTTCTATCTAGAACAAGGTTGATTCCCATATCATTCCTGCCAAACAGAAAAGCAGAGCATCAACTCAGGAGTTGCTATATATTTAGTGTACCTCAATATGAAAAGATGATGTGGCTGGACTATGCCACCTTCTTATTAAGTCATTAATGCTAGCTATCTATACCCATCAAAGAGGCCACAGAATCAATGTGTCAAAAATAACAAAATCTGATCTTAAGACATCATGAAGCTAAGAGTTAGAGAAATTGACCAAGATTCAGACCAGGAAACTGCCATAATGACACCCAAGGATCTCTATGTGTGGGAAACATTGGATGGCTCTCTTTGATTTTATGACTTTTGTGCCATAGCTCTTTTTACATTGTTTCCCCAGCCTGATTCTAAAATTTCTTTCTGTTTCTAGTTCCTTCTTTCTGGGGATTGGTGAACTCAGCTTGGAATCTTTGCTCTGTGGGGAAACGGCAGTCACCAGTCAATATAGAGACTAGTCACATGATCTTCGACCCCTTTCTGACGCCCCTTCGCATCAACACTGGGGGCAGGAAGGTAAGCAGCCATGTTGCTTCCATCGTGAAGTTGAGGACAGGGAGAGATGCTGATTCTGAAAGCCAGCCTTCCAGTCCTTGATCTCTGTGATGAGTTTGTCTTTCTACCCAGGAGTAACATCACAGACCTCAGGCCTATTGCCAGCAAATATAATTATGTGTAAATCGTGCTTTTTCTCTCTACCTAGTCAAACCCTCATGCTTCTGATTACTTCTTTGTATTCCCTGGATGTTGCCTGAAGTCCTATCCCTTGGTAGCTCATGAAAGTCCTATCCCTTGGTAGCTCATGAAAGAAAGTCAGAAAACAGCATTGCCTCCCCTGCATATCATGCTGGGAAAATTCTTCCTCTCAGAAACCTCTTTACTGGGGCTTCTTTTAACCTCAACAAAGTGAAAAAAAAATTAACAAAAGTAAACTCAGACATTTATCATCCTGGAAGGAAAAACAAACAAAAATCACATTAGATGATTTATAAGAAAGTAAATAATTAATTTTACTATGGCTTGCTGGCTAAGAATCATAGCTCCTGCACAGAAATGCTGAACTATGCTTCTCGATTCTCACATCAACATCCCTTCTTCCCTCTCCTTCCCCCATGATGAGCTCCTCCTTAATTTGTGGAAGAGCATAATGTCCATGGGGTTTCCTCATCACTGGAATCTAGCATTTTTGTTTTTTTTTTGTTTTTTCTGGTTTATCTATATTTAGCTACCCTTACTGTTGAGTAGATTGTTGAAGGTGGAAAAAACACACACAGAAAATTGTGTTTGAAAGTGATTTAGCTGTTGTGAACTCAAGAGGAATGGAAAATCATTTGTGTGCAAGAAACTGGGGTTAAAATTTGGATAAATTTCACTACTGCTGGTGGCTGATTCTCCAGGGGTTGGGCTCCTTGGGCTCTGCTTTCTACTCCCCTTATGCAGTCTGTTCACCTTAATTACCACAAGTTTGTAAGTAATCTTTTCACCTTCATATATGTTGTATTTTTTTCTTATCACATAATTTTCACACATGCACTGAAAAATCGAATGACCTATCAAGATTTTGTTAGTGACTTTGACTTAGGTCACAAGGCAAGTTTTAAAGGATCTTGCATGTGATTGAGACTATTTAGCTAAGTAGTGTTTGTGTGCTGTTTTAAATATGACTTAGGAAGCACCTTTGTAAAAAGGTCCTATATAAGTTCATGACATTTATTGTTCTGATCGTATAGAAAACTAACCTACCTAAATTATTGTTCCAATTGCAGTTTTATTTTACAAACCCTAAAAGGAACTTGACTTGGCTTCTACATATACCTCTCTTTAAAAAGTTGAATCATTCAAATCAAGTCATGAGCATGTATAGGTTCACTGACCAGTATATAAAAAGGGCAAATTGCAATTTTGAGTATGCAATCACTCTTTCTTTCTTGGAGAGTGTGATGGAGGACATAACTGTATTCTAGGCAAACTGAGAAATGAAAAAAAGTAAACACACACAAAGCAGAAGGAAGGGTGGTACCTGAATTCCAGAAATTACCTGAAAGATGGCCAGCAAGGCTGAAGCACAGAGACCTATGAGGGGTTGATGAGGAAATAAGGATGGAAGAAGAAGGCAGAGGCGAGATCCTGAGGCCATGTTAAGGAACTGGATTTTTTCGTAAGAGTATGACAAGGATTTAAAGCATTATTAGGTAAAAAGCACATAGGGAGTGGGATGGAAAAGGTAGCAAGCTAACACAAACAGTGAATATACAAGTTTCATTTTACATCATACCATCTTAGAGGAAGATCTTGATGTGAAAGAAATAAAAAAAACTAATTCAGGAAAGCTTCTCTCTAAAATTTATTGGGAAAGAAGAGAATGAGAGATAGCTGGAGTTAAAAATCATTCATAAGTTATGTTATCTTTTGGTGTTTTTTTATTGTTATGTGATTTAAAAGTATATTTTCAATTTAGTAAAGTATACCTGATCCAAATCAATTTTCAAATGCTTTGGAGTTTGGAATTTTGGAAACATTTACTTTTGATGGTGTAAATATTTATATCTGGCATGCTTTGTGTTGTCAGCTGTTTGAAGAGCTGAGAACCATTTGATTATTTCCTTTGCATTTGTGAAAGGTGGAAAATATAAAATATAGATGGTAGTTGGATAAACTAACTGGTAATGTAATGCCTAAACTTGATAGACAATAGCTAAATCATGTTTGCAAACTATTAAAAGATGGTGTTTAATGAATTGGAGATTTATTTTAGAAGTAAGGATTCAAATCACTGGCTCTGAATTTAGTTTTTCCTTGAAGAAATGTGTAGCCAACTTAAAAGGTTTAAAAACCTCTCTAAAAGATTGAGAGGTTTTGTAGAATTTGGGCAAGCTGCCACATTTTGAAGTCTGAGATCAGCTGGGTATCAACATGTTAAATGCATCCCAGTCATTATGTGTTTTATGTCACATTTGTATCTATGAGCATTCTTCCTGCTCATTGTTAAATGTACCTTATTTACAAACACACAAAGCAGCTCTGCTGCAGTACCTCACTGTGTTACTGTGTCTGTTTGAACATATTTGACTTGGCATAGATCTCAGATGATGAATTACAGGTTTTGTTTGTTTGTTTGTTTTAGCATGAGGTAGAGCTGAAATTCAATATGAACACAAGAATACAAAGGGTAATAATAGATGAGAATCAAAACATATGATGTCTTGGATATTTATTTTACAACAAATGTGGTTTCTTTTACCTTTTAAGATGCTTATTTACAATGATAATTTTTAAACAATGTTTGTTTTTTCTTGAAGAAGAGTACTTTTTATCCAGTTGTTCATATCTGACACATAGGACAAAATCCAAAATAAGTGTACTTTCAAACAACACTCACATATTGTTGCATTGCATATAGATATAAGAATCCTACTTTGGGAGAAATGTGTCCAAGACAGAGGAGTAGGAAGACCCTGAGCTTACTTCTTGCCATGGGCACACCAAAATTGCAATCATTTACAGAGCAACTATCTACAAGAACAACCTCAAGACTAGCTGAAAGATTTTCCACAACTAAATCTATGAAGAAGGAACTGCATTGAGTTGGGTAGGAGGGGTGGAGACATAATATAGTCAAGACCCACACCCCTGTGTAGGTAACCTATAAACGGGAGGACAATAATAAATGCAGAGGTTCTCCCCAAGGAGGAAGGGGGACCAAGCCCCACATTAGGCTCCCTAGCTAAGGGGTCCTGCAGCAAGAATATGAGCCCCCAAAATGTCTGGCTTTGATGGTCAGCAAGGCTGACATATTGAGAGAGTTGGAAGGCTTTAGGAAATAGATACTCTGCTCTTAAAGGGTGCACACAAAATCTCACATGCTAAAGGACCCAGGGCAGAATCAGTAATTTGAAAGTATCCCAGATCAGACCCATCTGCAGATTTTGGAGAGCTTCTCAGAGAGGCAGAAGGAAATTGGGACCCACCTTGGAGACACAGACACTGGTGGCAGTGCCTGGGAACTTGTTATACCTCAAGGACACTTGTGCTGGCAAGCACCATTTTAGAGTCTTCTTTCTATCCTATTAGTGCCTGGGACTTACACACCAACCAGTGAACCATCACCAACCCCAGACCATCCCAGACCCCACAGCCAGCTGCCCCAGGACCTGGCTTAGACCACCAGAAGGACAGCACCAGCCCAGGGACCCCCCCAACCCATGCAACCAGCTGTACTGGGAACTGGTCTAACCCACCAGTGAGCCAGCAACCACCACGTGAAGCAGAGTCTGGTGGCCAACCAGGCATAATGCAGCCCCACCTACCAGCATTCCCACAGTAGTTGGTCCTGCCACAACAGAAAGGCCCATGCAGCCCACATAGGGGGCACTCCTAGAGCATATAGCTCTGGTGACCAGAAGGGAGTGTGCTGGTAGGCTCCATAGGACCTCTCCTACATGCGGCCACTTCTCCAAAATCAGGAAATATAACCAAATTGCCTAACACTGGATATAAATACAGAGAATAGGCAAAATGAGGAGATGGAGAAATACGTACCAAAGAAGGAACAAAACAAAACCTAAGGAAAAAAATTTTAACAAAATGGAGATAAGCAATCTGCCCAATAAAGAGTTCAAGGTAATAATCATCAAGATGCTCAGTGAACTCAGGAGAAGAATGGATGAACACAGTGAGAAGTGTAACAGAATTAGAAAATATAAAGTACCAGACAGAGCTGAACAATCAGTAATTTAAATTTAAAAATACACTAGAAGGAATCATGGTTGATTAAATGATACAGAGGAGTGGATCAGCAAACTGGAAAAGTGCAGTAGGAATCACCCTAACAGAACAGAAAAGAGAAAAAAAAATAATTTTATAAAATGAAGATAGTTTGAGACCTCTGAGACAACATCAAGCACACTAATATTTACATTGTAGGGGTCCCATAGAAGAATAGAGAGAGAAAGGGTCAGATAAATTATTTGAAGACATAATAATTGAAAACTTCCCTAACCTGGGAAAGGAAACTGACATCCAGGTCCAAGAAGCACAGAGAGTCCCAAAGAAATAAAGCCAAAGAGGGCCACACTAAGACATTGTAATTAAAATAACAAGAATTAAAGATAAAGAGAGAATATTAAAAGCAACAAGATAAAAGCAACCAATTACATACAAGGGACCTCCCATAAGTCTATCAGCTGACTTTTCAGCAGAAACTTTGCAGGCCAGAAGGGAGTGGCACAATATATTCAAAGTGATGAAAGGAAAAAAAATCTATAACCAAGAATACTCTACCCAGCAAAGCTATCATTCAGATTTGAAGGAGGCATAAAGAGTTTTAGAAACAAGAAAAACTGAAAGAGTTCAGCATGACTAACTGGATTTATAAGAAATGTTAAAGGGACTTATCTAAGCAGAAAAGAAAATGTCACAATTAAAAATCTGAAAATTACAAAAGGAAAAATCTCATTGGTAAAAGCAAATATACTGTAAAGGTAATAGATCAACCACTTATAAAGCTAGAAGGAAGG